GCCCCCCCCCCCCCCCATCAGTATCCACCCCTTTGCGCCCTGTTTCCACATCCCTGTTCACTCTTGGCCTCATGGCCTGGTGTGTCCCAGCAATGTCTGGGATTCCTGGCCCCTCTGCCCTGTCTTCCCTAGCTAGGCCCTGGGGAAGCTGGCCTGGTCTCTCACTTAGTGGGCCCCCTAGATGAATGAAGGAAGGAATGAATGAATGAATGCAGGCGGGTCCGGGATCCCCCAATTTCAGGCCCACGCCACTCTTACCCCAGCACTGCTCCGGATGCCTGCTGATGGCCGTGAATCTGTCCTTCAGGTCCAGGATGTGGTTCCGACTTCAGGCAAGGCACCGCCGCCTGCTCGGGCCTCTGCGCTCCGTGCTGCTGGCAGCCGGAGGCCCTGTCTGGGCCGCAGCATCAGGCCGCCCCGCTTCCTTGGCTCCCAAGGGCCACCGCGGCGGCGGTGGCAACAGGGTAGGTCCCTCCAGGGAAAGTGAGCAGCTCCGGGCCGCCTGCCCTCTCCCCGCCCCTGGCGGCCGGGTTTCCTCCCTCTCACCCCTGGCGCAGCGGCCGGAGGATGCTGGGCCAGTGCAGATAAGGGCCTGGCTGCCTGGCCGCGCCTGATAAGGAGCCGGGCTGACCCCCGGAGGAAACCAGCGGGCGGGGATCTCCTAGGGGATCTCCTAGCGCAGGCCTCAAGTCCCCGCCCCCAGCCGGCACATGCAGGACTGACTGTCACCCTTCAAGGCCTCACCTTCCATCCCCCCAGGCACTGAAGGATCCCAGCCAGGGTGCACACCCCTAGGAGTGAGGTGCCCAGTTGCATGCAGAAGGGACACTGAGGCAGGGATGGATGCAGTGGTCCCTATGCCACTTGGGCCTGTCCTCCAGCTGTGAATACCCCTTGCTGTGTCCGTGCTGATGGGGCTGGAGGGGAGCCCTTTCCGGCCCTGCTGGGGCCTCGTGACCCGGGGGCCCCCTTCACCCCTCCTCACCCTGCCTGGTTCCTCTTTCTACAGAGTGGCTCCCCGCCTTTCTGCCAACCCCACCCTGGAGTGGGGCACTGACTGGAGGGCAGTTCTGACAGTTTGGCCTTGGGTGTCCAGCCTAGGCAGGTGTCCTGGGCGCGCCCCCCCC